CTAAGACAAGACTAAGACTGTAGACTGTCCATCAAGGTTAACGGTATCATCCATGGGCACTTGCTACATGAACTGCTACATGACTGGATCCACATTACCTAAACAGCAGCACTTGTAATCTTATTGGTTAATCATAATTTTGGCCCACTACATTGAAACCACCTCATGATCTTGCTTCATAAATCTTCCTTTGAAAAGTGGACTCTTTGGCAGCCCATTCAGGACCCCTCTCCTTTCTCTCAGGAGCACTTCCTATTCTTCATTCCTTTTCCCCAATAAGTTTTCCTACCCTTAACCTCTGTTGTTCCTTAGAATTCATTCTTTGAGTTTGGGTACATGAACTCAGTGTATTGGGTATCTAGCAGGTTGGGAGTTGTGTTTATTTTCCCCACATGATTTGGAGGTCCTGCATCACCAGCAATCCTCTGTCTTCACAGAACACCCAGATTAGACCAGACCATCCACCCCAACCACCTACCCAGTGGGTAGTTGTCAGGCCCCCTCCTTACCACCTTCCAGCGCAGGAAGAGTTTCTAACTCTGGGCCTTCAGAAGGAGAGGCCAAGCTCAACTTGGGCCTGCCCTTGATTTTATCCTGCTGGGCAGGAGGGGAGCCAGTGTAGCCTGGAGTCAAATTGTAGACCACTTAGCATCCAGAAAATCAGAATCGCAAGCAGCTCTTGAGAGTGAGGGGCCCTTCAGATTTCCTTGAGAAGTGTCTGTTCAGTTCATTTGCCCCATTTGCTGCTGGCTGAGCTATTTGTTTTGGGGGTATTAAGTTTCTGAGATCTTCATATATTCTACATATTAATCTATTGGAAAAGTAGCTGCCAAAGATTTTCTCCTGTTCTACTCTTTACTGTTGATTTTTTTTCTTTTTTGCTGTGCATTAGCTTTTTAATTTGATCCAGTCCATTTGTTGATTCTTCCTGTGTTTCTATTATTTCCTGCATGTACCCCTATACTGAATTGAAACCCATTATTCTGTATAACTAATATGAATTCATGAAATGAATGTTTTTAAAAGTGAAGAAAATGAACTCAGGACCCCAAACAGGACCTGTTAAAATGTAGGGTGCTGGACCCCAGACGAAGCATCCTGGCCTGGAGGGAAGCCTGGTTCACATTTGGACACTCCCCCACCTGAGCACACCCTATAAACCAGCATCTAGCTTGCTGCTGGCCCCAGTCTCTGGACAATGAAACAAATACCATGACCACAACATGGGACAACTCCCAGGGAACAATGTGACATCAGGTGCCATATACTTGAGTGACGACACTTGGGGGAGCCCCAAGTACCCTAAGACAGCCAGAAGGCACAATGCCCCTTCCAGCAGCTCTAATTACAATTTGACTTTCACTCATTCATTCGACAAGCACATAGTGCTAGCCACGTGCCAGCCTTGTGCTAGGAGGAAGAAGCCGCAGCTCATCAACTTCTCTGCTCAGAGCCTAGCGCTGGTCCAAGAGAAGCAAATGGACAGCGACAGTCCAAGGTGGTGGCTTTGCTTCCCCCTCTCCAACTCCTTTCCATGTCAAGTCAGCAAAGGGGGGATCTTTGGCTCCCCTCCTTTCCTCTGTTCTACGCTGAAAGATTTCCCTGCCTGTTTCCTTTGCCTCCTCCTCTCTGCCCCTAGGCCATCCTTAGATTTGCTTACAGAGCCACACACACCCCTTGATTCTTGGCCCTCCAGCCCAATGTAGCCTTTTTTTTGGGGGGGGGTAGTACCAGGGATTGAACTCAGGACCTTGTGCTTGCCAGGCAAGCACTTATTCCACTGAGCTATCTCCCCAGACCCCAGCTGTGTAGACTTGTAAAACCACAAATGGAATCAATGTTCCTGCTGGACATCCGCTTCCACCTACCCCTCACTCAGTGGTTCCAGCCCCCTAGCTTCCCCTCCCTACGCAGGAAGCTGCTCCTCTGGTCCCCTAGGTCTCAGCACAGATGCTGCCTCCTCCAGCAGCCTTCTCTGACTGTTTCCTGAGTGCAGAACAGAGGATGAAAGAGCTCAGCGGCTCCTTAACACCCCTCCAATGAGAAGGGGGCTTTACATTCCCTACCCTGAAGCTGAGCTAAACCGAAACTGCTTTCACAGAAAGAATCCAGGGGCGTGGAGCTGTGCTAGTTCCAGAAGAGTTTGTTTCATCAGCACCACAGCCGCGTCCTCCTTTCTCGCAGCCCTGAGTGGCCTCATCCAAAGTCTCGTGCCCAGCCAGAGAGAAAGGTCCTGACCGCATAAAGAAGGCCAGCCAGCCTTCCAGCCATCCCCAACCAAGGCAAAAAAAAAGCCATCTAAGACTTTCCAGAGCTCATCAGTGCCAGACACACATCATCTAACAATCCCAGTCATGCTTCCTAAAGCAGAATGATCACCCCATGAGCCCTGCCCACAGCTCAGGCCACTTAAATCAGAAGATGCATTAAACTTGGGGGTATTGATATGATGCAGAACCAACAGCCAGAACACTTCACTTTGTATTTATGTCCATTACAGCAATCATTTGGTCAATGATTGTCTTTAAAAAAAATGTTTTACCTTTAAATTCTTCCCTCTACTAGATGGTAAATTCTATCATGGCAGGAACTGAGCCTGTGCTATTCGTCACTATAAACACAGGGTGTGGTGTGTGGTATGTGCTCGATAAATAATGGCTGAGTGAACAAACACATCAGTTATGGACAGGCAGGGGAAGGCACCATGTCAAAACCAAGGGAGTTTTACAGAGAAAGTGACATTTAAATGTTCAGAGCTGAGGGTTCAAAGGGCACAGCCACAGGGGTTGGGAGCCTGCTCCAAGCACACCAATTACAAGCATCTCCAAGTCACATTTTTGTCTTATCTTTGTGTCTTCATTACTAAGCACAGTCACAGAAAAAGCTCTTGGTGAACATATTTGAAACAAATGAAGGACTATACGGCCTCTTGGGAAAGACAAGCTGTAAGTCAGGACCCCTGCCTGATTGCTCAAGTCCTACAATTCACTGTATATCCTTCGTAAAAGAAATCATTCAGTTTTCCTGGTGCCCAGTGTACTTGAGATCAAACCATTGGCTCCTTCTCTACCGGTCTGGATTATTGTCAAGATTATGAGAAAGCAAAGATAACACAGTTCATTGAAAAGAAATTGTTCAAGTGGAAGCATGTGCTGTTGGACAAGAAATGTGTAATGTTATTGTTCTCTAAATGTTCCACCTGCCTCACAAAGACCCTTCAGCACCATTACTAAAGTCTTTCTTTGAATCACATGCCACAGGCAACTCAGCTGGGGAAGGCTACCCCCAAAGTAGTACCTCCCAGCAGCCGCAGGTGGATAGGAAGCATCTGGGTCCTTAGAGATATGGGGCCCACAGAGCCAAGAGCAGTGCCCTGGACCTGAGTGTGGAGACCTTAGTTCTTGTCCTACTGTTGACCCTAATTTGCTATCAGATCATGGGCAAACCAATTCCCTCTCTCAACCATATCTCTCAACCAGCATGGACTACCTTCCTCCAACTGGCCACATCTCCTTTACCATCACAGCCCAATAATGCCAGCAAATTATGATCTCCTCGGTGGATTAATCCGTGGACACTGTCACATTCCTCACGATCCAAGCTCCTAAAAGCCCCACCACTGAACACACAAGACTTTGAGGGCCACTTCAGATCTAAACCATAATACCTTCCTTCCATCTCCTCTGTTGTCCTTCTGTCCTCTCGCTTACTCTCCTCTTCCTTTCTTCTACCCTCTCCTTCCTTTCCTCTTCCCTGTTACTCACAAGCATCTCTGCTCCATTGGATGAGCTGGGCCCATTACAACAAGACTAAAACAAGACCCAGGCCCTGCCCTCAAGGTAGGCTGACACTCTCGCGTGAACTCAGAACCCCGTAAGATGGCACTCCATAAGATGGCTGTCCTGCTTCCAGGACAGCCAGGATGAAGGCTCAGAGCCCAGGACAGAACCTGTGCAGTGAGCTCTGAAGAAGAGGCAGCTGGAATCAGCCAGTGTGCTGGGGTCAAGGTTGAGCCCGGCCTTCCCTGGAGATTCTGTGCTCCCTGGCCACTGGGGGATCCATCGTCATATTAGCATCTCGCAGAGTCCGTCCCAGCTGCTCTGGCCTGGCCACATCCTAATTAGACTTTCATAGCATGACAGGCATCCTGCTTGGCCCGACTGCCAGCTGGGGCTCCCGTTCCGTCTGGTGGCTTAGTTAATGAACCCATGAGGGGCTGGTCGAGCTCATTATAGGTGATGCAAGGGGGTAGGGACCTCTTTCCAAGTCCCCCAGTGTGGTGTGTCATACTTCAAACAGTAAAGAAACTGATTCCAAACTAAAAGGAAGAACAGGGCAGGAGATGAGACCCAAGTCCCCTGCACAGTCTGGCTGCACAGCTGGGGACAGCCCAAGATGCAGCTGACTCCAGGGACAACGCAGTCAGCACTGTGGCTCATGGCTGGGGATGTGGAGCCTTCCCAGTTGCCAGGGCCTCTGTGCACTCAGAGGTTGCAAGTGAGAAGCTGGGGTGGGCAGGATTTGTACATCCTAAATAAGACAGTAAGGCTGGCAACAAGGCTGGCGAGAGAGTGGGCACCATGGTCCTCTAAGGGACCCAGAAGAGAAATGCTCTGAGGACTCATGTAGATGAAGCCTCACAGCCATTGTGCTACAGGAACTTGAAGTGGGCAGGTGGTGCCTAGACAAGACAGGCTCGGGATGCCCCAACAAAGCTCTCTTCTGGGCATGCCTGGTGCCAGCCCAAGGCCAAGCGCTTGGCTGCGTACTACTAATAATACCCACCATATTGGGCACTTGCTGTCTTTTCATGTACTTTTCTAGGTTCTCATTTATTCTGGACAGCAGCCCTCTGTGGAGGAGCTACTTCTGTCTTTGCTTCGAGCATACACACAACTGAGGCTCAGGTACAAGTCCCCTGCAGACTCAGTGCCTTAAAGGATCCTCCCTGCCTCACCATCAGCTGCCCGCCCTCCCCAGAACCTGGGCCCTCTTCTCACTTGAATTGGTGCTCCCGGGAGCTGCGGATTTTGGAGGAAAACCGCTCAGCCAGCTTCTCCAGGCTGCGGGAGTACTCGAGCTCGATCTCAGCCTTCCTGCGGAAGAACTCCTGGAGGTCCTGAAGCAGCTGTAGCCGCGACTCTGACTGCTGCTCCAGGCATTTGAACTGCTCTACCAGCTGTGTGCGGATCTCTGTGGAAGGAAGCAAGGAGCACTGTGTTAGGCTGCTGGGGGCAGCCGCGGGCTCACCTGGCTGATTCAGCAATGCCAGCCCTCCCCACAGCCTCACCACCACCCAGAGCCTCCGGAGCCCTTGATTGGCAGAGTGCTGACAAGGCTTGGCATTCAGTCTAACCCAATGTGCATTGCAACCATGGCTTTTGTCACACCTACACACCACCAGGTAACCATTTCTTCCACATGATTTAGTACACTGCCTCACTCTTCTAATTGCAATGAATTTATTTAACTGAAGAGTTCTGTATCACCACAATAAAGTGGAAAACCAGGAGCACTTGCAGCCTGGAACACAGAAAATGATTTCAATAAACACAACTTAGTAAAACACTCTCTAGACACTGCGGTTCCCCAGGGCCCTCAAGCCTAAGCTGCTGGCTCTTTGTGAATAGCATGAGAGGTGTGAAAAAGGATTCTTTCCAGGTGCGGTCAGGACCAGGAGTGCAGGGCTCCCTCCAGGGCTTCAGTGTTATTCAAGGCCACATCTGCTCTGCTTCAAATTACTGCGAGTTCCATGTATAAACATCTCAAGGACCACTAGAAGAGCGAGTCCTCACTTCAGGAAGTACTGACGCTCAAACCATGTTCTGTGCACCCGGGACGAAAGTTGGCGTGAAATCTCACCGTGGAGTCCTTGGAAATACAGGCAATCTTTGCACTGATCAGGAGTGTGGTCACTGCCACAGATCTCATGCAACACCTCCTTCCCAGCCACCCACAAGCTCTCCGCAGAGCTGTCTGTCCCGAGTTCTCTGTTCTCAGAGGCTGGCTGCTCAAAGATACCCCAGGGCTCCCTCTGCCTGAGGGTGAAGGGCAGCTCCTGTATATGGAGTCCACCACTCCACCCAAGCTCCACTTCTTAGCGGTTCTCCCTCAGTGGATTCTCCAAACCATTCAAACTCATCTTGAAATGACCAGTTATACCTGTCCAAAAGTATAGCCTGTCTGAGATGGTGGCCAGCATCATTTTAGCCTACCTCAGGAAAGGGATCTGCAAGTGGACTAAACCCACTCCGAGGCACACAGTCCTGAGGAGCTCGAACTCAGAGCCTGACTCCACAGCATCTGTTCCCACTCTTCCCGGCCCTGCTGAGAACGTGCCTCTGTCAACTCTCCTTCCCACCCTTCCTCCTATGACCCCGTTTCCTCTCCACATGAGGAAGACTGACATCTAATTTGCCCCGAATCTGCCTAGAGTGCAGCACTCCAAATGGTCAAAGCATCTTCAGGGCCAATTTGAAATGCTGGTGTTAGCAAATCATCCTTTAATTAAAGGACCACAACCGACCCTTGCTATTCAAAGTGTGGTCTATGGACAAGTGTATCACCATCACCAGTGGGCTTAAAAAAATGCAAGTACCCAAATTCGCAAGGATGTGTACATTAAATATGTGCAGTCTTCTGTATAGCTAATATACTTCAGTAGCCCTAGAAAAAAAAAAAAAAAAGAAACAGAATTGCAAGTTCCAACCCAGATGTTTTGAATCAGAATCTGCATTCTAAGAAGCTCCCAGGCCATCTGATGCCCCTAAAATCTGAGAAGCACTGCCATCAGCCACCCCATCTGTCTCGTCCTCAGAAGCGTTGCCAACATTGCTATGGATTAGGTTTGAAGTGTGCCCCAGAAGTCAGGTGCTGAAGCACTGCTGGCAGCTGACGAGCTTTTGCAAAGGCTTGGGTCAGGCACGAGGGCTCCAGTGCATCAGTGGACCAGTCCTTCGAGAAAATTCTAATTTAGTAACATAACTGGAAGGCGACAGAAGCAGGAAGAGAGGGTGGATCAAGGCAGCATGATCTTAGGGACCGCATCCGGTCCCTGGCCCTCCTCTCTGCTTCCTTCTCCCTGTCTCACATGCTCTCTGCTTCCTGGCTGCTGTGAGGTGAAAGGCTTCCTCCACCATCATGGTTGTTCTGCCTCACTGCAGGCCTGAAGCGATGAAGCCAGCTGACCAGGAAGCCTGAGAGACTGGGCGCCAGAATGAACCTTTTCTCCTCTAAGTTGATTTTCTGAAGTATTTGGTCATAGCAAAGAAAAGCTGACTGATATATCTCCACTCTTGCTTTTTTATGCTTAACAGCTTGTCATATGTATAAAATATTAATGATATTCTGTTTAAGTATGTATTAGTGATCATTACCGTAGTCAATCAAAAGGCAGATACTTAGAATTGTGTTATCAAAGGGCAGCTTCCAAAATGTCCATTTCAATTTACATGTATTATCTGGGTATAAAAGTATGGTAATCACAAAAACATTTTAGGTGTAAATATATGTTAAGATAAAAATTCTGTGAAGGAATTTGAAGAGAATTATGACTTCAAGAAAATTTTAAAAAAGTGTTAACATTTTTCCTGTTGGGTAATTTTGATGGAGGTTGAGCTATTGTTGTATCATGGTATTTATGCCATAGCCTGGAAAGTCCATTCATGGGCACGTACCTCATAGAAATCAGTCTTTATGTTGCCCCAAATATGTACGCAAATATGAGCTTCTAACCAAATGTTAGAAACAATAGATACTGGGAAAAGGGAATGAACTTATTAAAAAAGATACAATTACTGAGTTGAGGAGGAGGACAGGAGAGGGAGTAAGGGAAAGAGATTTATCTATGTATGTAAGCAGGATGGTTTGGACAACTGTACTGTGCATTTCTGCTGGTCTATGGAAAGAAGCAGTTAATGCTTTAATTTGTTTCATCTCCTTTTTTCTTTTTCTTTTTGATACAGGGTCTACAAGGTCTCACTATGTAAATCAGACTCATAGTGATTCTCCTGTTTTCATTCTCCCAAGTGCTGGGATTACAGGCTCATGCCACCATGTCCAGCCTCAATTGCCATCTCAGCGCACCCCAGGGGCAGGGCTGGCATGGCACACTGGGGATCGAACCCTGGTCACTGTGCTCTGCCTAAGCAGGCACTTTAGTCCCCTGAGCTATCTAGCCAGCCCTTCTTTTTTTCTTTTTTAATTTTTTTTGTCTCCTTTTTTCAATTGTACTTTTTCTCTTCAAACTTTCTTATACATTTCTTTCTTGTTTTTCCTTTCATCTTCAAATTTTACATGCACATATCTGGTAATATGAATAACTTTTTAGAAGACAATACTATGTATTACTACAAATACTGTGAAATTCATACTACTTTGTTACGTGGAATTCTGTATCACTTGTAAATTTTTGTTTTAATTCTAATTTGTACTCTCTTTAAAAAATAAAAAAAATTGAAAACAATAGGGGCTGGTGAGATGGCTCAGTGGTCTAAAGCACCTACTTAGAACAAGCTTAGCAAAGCACAGGGACC